GGATCATGACCTGAGCCAAAGGCAGTCGCTTAACCAACTGAGCCACCCAGGCGCCCCTGTGCCAGGCACTCTTAAAAGTATTTTGTGATTATTCAACTAATTCTTGAAACCACCCTAGGAGGTGACCACAATTATGATCCCCATTATACAGATGAGGAATAAGGCACAGAGATGATAATTGCTCAAAATCACAAATCTAGTAAGTGGTACTGTCAGGATGTAAACCTAAGTACGTTTGACTCTAGACTCTTTACTTTTTAACCTACCTTCACTATCTCATAGTGAGGGCTATATTCAAAACAGTGATTACCAAATCATTGAACATGTTTTAAAAATATACTTAACAGGATTGACAAATCTGCTGATGCAGCTCATTTGTGACCCTGCAGAGGTAAGTGCTTCTGAACTGGCCTGGTTGGCCTGGTTGTCATTTTCTTCTCTAGCCATTTCTTGAGGGCTTACCTTTGGTAAATGCCACCTTTCTCACAAGCTTTAGATTTGGAAGCTATCTATGAATAACAAATTCTTTAAAAACATTGTAGCTCCAAATTAACATCATATTTTCTTTTCTAATTTTTTATTATGGGTAGTAGTAGCCCTCATTTGAATGCTGTCTTCCTAGGTGGTGGCCATCCACACTGTATATAACAGCAGAGCTCTGTTGGAAGTGGCAAAAGAGATGAAAGTCGAGTTGATAACTAAGCTAGGATGAGACTTGAGAAAGCAATAAAACAGATGGATTATTGCTTTGGAGTGGTTTTGATCTAAATATGGAGAATGATTATGAACTGTAAGGCTTTGAAAAATCAGTATGACCCTGTAAAGATAACAGGTAGGAACGCCGTGCTTGAATCTTAATGTACAAGTTAAGACCCAGAAGTGCTCATGACTCCCTAAGAATTTTCTCAAGAACATTTCCAATAAAGTCACACACGTAGTGTGGTTGACAGCATTAGAATACACTTGAGATCAGTAATGATGAATCTGAATTCACACTGGTTGACATAGTTGTTTTTCTCTAGCTATGTTCAGCTTTGATGGTGCAAAAATTAGACAAAAGCAGAGCTGGATTTAACTGGGGTTGTGGTTTCACAAAGCCAGATAGGGGAAGGGAGTTGAGGGAATCTTTGCTATTCTCAACTATTCATTATATGTAAATTTTATAAACACCTTTTCCAATTTCATATAAAAGTCTTGGGAATTTATTTGAACTCTCTTGACCATACTAATCAATTTGGGACTAATCACCTCCTTTAGGATACTGAGTCTTACATCTGTTTACAATGTAAAGATTTTTTAGTCTCTATAACATCTTTCAATAGAGTTTTCAATTTTTCTCCAAAAAATTAAATCACATAGAGATACTAAATCTAGTATCAGTGGACATGAAAAAAACTGTGTATCTATCACAACCTTGCTCATTGTTTTCATATTTAAAGTTGTCTTGTGAAAATTTGCCATTCTAAGTTTCATCATAAAATTATGAAATTATTATTGCTGTCAAATTTTATTTTGAGACTCAAATGGTCTAGTAATAACAAATGTTGTAACTCAGCTGCCCATTTAGAAATAGTTCTCTTAAAAAAAAAAAAGAAAGAAAGAAAAAAGAAATAGTTCTCTTGTAGCTGTTTTCCTTTGAGTTTTTATCCTCTAAGTAGGCTGTCTTGCCTCTCCCAAAGATATTGTGTTATTTCTCCCTTGTAAATATTTATTTTTTCTTTTCACTTAGTTCCCCTACAGTACAAAATATTTGGAAATGCAGTGTCCTAAAGAGATTGTGTAAATGTTTTAAGGCATCATGCATCATTATAATTAGTTACTCAAGTTCACAGCCCCAAATTTCAACTTTATATTAGATTTTTAGAAATCCAGTAATTTGGTTAAAATGAGGGTTCTCTTTCTCTCTGTGTGTGTGTGTGTGTGCATGAGCATGTGTGTAACATTGGCTGTATATTTGGATTAGTTTCCTATGTCTGCCATAACAAGGTACCACAAACTGGATGGTTTAGAACAATAGAAATTTATTCTGTCACACTCACACTTTTGGAGGCCACATGTAGAAAATCAAGGTGTTGACAAGGGCATGCTCCCTCCAAATCTTCTAGGATCCACTCTTGCCTCTTATAAGTTTTTGGAAGCCCCATGTATTCTGTGGCTTGTGGTAGCACTGCTGTAATTTCTGCCTCTGTCTTCACATGGCCATCTTCTCTATGTGATTTTGTCTTCTACTCATCTTAGAAGGACACCAATTGTATTGGATTAAACCCAGCCTGCTGTGGTATGACCTCATCTTAACCAACTACATCTGCCAGGACCCTATTTCCAAATAAGGTCATTCTGAGGTAGTGGGGGTGAGGACTTCAAAATATCTTTTTTTGGGAGATACAGGTCAACTCATAACAACACCTAAGTACTTGCTAAGAGATCCCGTGTTAGTTTTTTAGGAATATGTGCATATTCATTTAAAAATGTAACTTCGAGAAAATAAAAAATGAAAATAAATAAAAATGTAACTTTAACATTTTTGTTAAATGAAATAATATACTGTTAAAATCTGCAAGGATAAAATATTGCACATCAACTAGACCTTTATGAGAACTCTTCATTGTTTCCTTCAATAAGAGTTCTGCAGGTGATATTTTTTATATTTTTGATTAAGAAATTTGTCTGAATCACTGACTTTACTATAGTTTTCTTGAGTATATTTCCAAGACTATGCAGCTTCCTACATAGTTTCATATTTGCTTCTAGAAATGAGAAAGATAAAGTTTGAGAAAAGAAGCTCATCTAAGTTAAACACACTGTGTGACTCTCCTCTCTCTTTATTTTCTTACTTTGAAATGTATAAAAGGAAACGGTCTTCTTTCAAAAAAGGCTCTAAAATATCTTGTTACATTTATAAAGTCTTCTGAACGCTGTAATAAGTCTGCCAGCACCATCTTTGCTTTAGAACATTGTTGAAAATGTCCTTCTGTAAAATAGATCTTTCTGAGCTGCTCACCCCAATATTTGTGTTGGTTCAAAAGAGAAATGAAAAGTTAACAATAAACAACAGTAAAAACAAAATCTTGAAGGTAGATCAGAGCTAGAGGGTGGTCATCTAGTTGAACTCCCTGATTTACAATGGAGATAGTGAGGCCCAGATGTTCCTGAAGGTCACTTTGTTGAAACATGGCAGAACTGGGTCTAAAATCATGCTCTACTGAATCACATTGTCTTTTCTTTCTTATCTTATTCAGAACTTGTACAAAAGGTTAACAACGGCTGGCACTGAATTGTACACTTTTTTATTGCAGTATAGTTGACACACAATGTTATATTAGGTTCAGGTGGATCACATAGTGTTTCAACAACTGTATACATTGTGTACCACAAGTGTAGCTCCCATCTGTGCCCATACAGAGCTATTACAGTACCATTGACTAGGTTCCTTATGCTGTACTTTTCATCGCTAGGATTTATTCATTCCATAACTGGAATACTATACTTCCTACTCCCCTTCACCCATTTTGTCCATTCCCCTGTTCCCCTCCCCTGTGGCCACCATTAGTTTGTTCTCTGTATTTGTGGGTCTGTTTCTACTTTTGTTTGTTTGTTTTTTCATTTGTTTTGTTTTCTAGATTCCACATAAAAGTGAAATCATATGGTATTTGTCTTTCTCTGTCTGACTTATTTCACTTAGCATAATACTCTCCAAGTCCATCCAAGTTGTCACAAGTGGTAAGATCTCATTCTTTTTTAGGGCTGAGTAATATTCTATTCTATTCTTTGTCATGTTGAGGTATGTTCCCTTTATATCTACTTTGTTGAGTTTTATAATAACTAGATGTTGAATTTTATCAGATGCTTTTTATGTGTCTATTGAGTTGATCATATGATTTTTATCCTTCATTTTGTGTTAAACCATCCTTGCATCCTTGGAATAAATCCTACTTGATCATGGTATATGATCTTTTTAATGTATTGCTGACTTCAATTTGCTAATATTTTGTCGAGGATTTTCTATGTTCATCAGGGATATTGGCCTGTAATTTTCTTTTCTTATGATATCCTTGTTTGCTTTTGGTATCCAGGTAATGCTGTCCTCATAAAATGAGTTTGGAGGAGTTACCTCCTCTTCTATTTTTGGAAAAGTTTGAAAAGGATTGCTGTTAGTATTTCTTTGAATGTTTGATAGTATTCATCAGTGAAAACTGTTTAAGAAATAGTCTTAAAACATTTCTTAACTTTCAAAAAATCTGCACACATTTATAAGGTTAAGTTAAAATGTAAACTTAAATAATGCTCTGTCATGCAGCATGAAATACCATACTACAAGTTCACCTTTCTAGAGGGCAAATTAGATTAATAGGAAACTTAGTGTTTTTTTCTGTTCTTTCTTTGTGGATTTCTTGTTAGTGATTCATAGGCCTTCCAAATTGATCACCTAACTTTCTTATCTTTTGTCTTCTGTATTATGTCTCTTTGTCTTTTTTTTTAAATCCATCTTTATTGATATAAAATTTTTATTCAATAAAGTTCACTCATTTTAATTGTACAGTTCAATGAGTTTTGGCAATGTATATAGTCATATAGCCTTCACCACTCTCACTCCAAAGAGTTCCCTCATCCCCTTTGTAGTCACCCCCTTTCCTTTCCCTCTCCCCCCAGGAGTTTTGCCTGTTTTAAAATGTCACATAAACAGACTCACATAGTATATGGGCTTTTGTGTCTTTTTTATTTTTTTAAGATTTTATTTATTTATTTGACAGAGAGAGACACAGCGAGAGAGGGAACACAAACAGGGGGATTGGGGGAGGGTGAAGCAGGCTTCCCGCCGAGCAGGGAGTCCGATGTGGGGCTCAATCCCAAGACCCTGGGACCATGACTTGAGCCAAAGGCAGACGCTTAATGACTGAGCCACCCAGATGCCCCTTGTGTTTTGTTTCTTTCATTTAATATCATTCATTGGAGTTTTTTTCATGCTATGTACATTAATAGTTTGTTTCTTTTTATTGCAGGGTAGGATTCCTAAGCCACAAATTATTGGTCCATTCACCAATTGATGGACATATAAGTCATTTCCAGTTTTCATTTCTTCTGGATAGATACCTAGGTATGGAATTTCTGGGTCATGTGATTAGGTATGTTTAGCTTCATAAGAAATTGCCAAATAATTTTCTAAAGTGACTGTACCATTTTATACTTGCAAAAGCATTTACTGTATAACCTTGCCAAGATTTTATTCTATGTTTGCTTTGAGAAATTTTATAGTTTTATAGTTTATAGCTGTTCTATTTAGGCCCATGATTCATTTTGAGTTAATGTTTTGCATATGATGTGAGATGAGAATCAAGATTCTTTTTATTGATTGATTTGGGGGTTTTTTTGCGTATGGATATCCATTTATACTAGCACCATTTGTTGAAAAGACTATCTTTTCCTCATTGAAATACCTTGGTACTTTTGTAAAAAATTAATTAGCTATATACTGTATGTCTATGAGTCTTTCTGGACTTCCTATTCTGTTCCATTGATCTATTTGTCTACCTTGATGCCAGTACCACATTGTCTTAATCATTGTAGCTTTATCATAAATCTTGAAATCAAATTGACGTCCTTCTAGTTCTTTAAATTTCTCTAAGCAATATTTGCAGTGTAATGGTAGTGGGCATATTTTATTTAATCCATCCTTAAATATTTCATGTTTTCTGTTGCTGTTGGAAATGATACTGCATTTTTTAAAAAAAACTTATAATTTCTACTTGTTTGTTGCTGATACATCTTTTGTTCCTTTTTCTATTTCCAGGGAGGTTTATCAAGTTTATCTTCCAAAACTTCTATTAATTTTTTTAAAAATTGCAATTAAAAATGTTTAGTGTGGTAAAATATACATGAAATAAAATTTACCATTTTAGTCATTTTTAAGTGCACAGTTCAGTGACATTAAGTACATTCACATTGTTGTACAACTACCACCACCGTCCATCTCCAGAAGTTTTTCATCATCCCATACTGAAACTGTCTACTCATCTGGCCCCCGTTACCCACTGTTCTACTTCCTGCCTCTATGTATTTGATTATTCTAGGTACCTTATTCACAAATGAGTTACATATCTACTACTACATGAAAGGAAAAAATTTCCACCCAGGACAATAAATAATATTGAGATAAAATGGAAATGTCAGATGACAGTGAGTTTGTAGCCATAAAAGGAAAGTGAGTTTCCAAAAAGACACTGGCAAGGCAATATACTATGGCATTTCCGGTGATGAATGTATTCCTGAGTTCTCTGGAAACTAGAAAACAAGTTGAATAATGAGCAATATATATCTGTTGATTAAAAAAAATCCTATACCTCATAAATACAAGTAGAATATAAAAGAATCATTTATTGTCTAATTTTTTAATTTAATGGAGCTTGCTTAACCTCTTATTGCTTTTCTTCCAACCATTTCCTTCTCTTCAGCATCTTCATTAGAGGGTGGTTAGTTACACGTAGAGGCAAAAGTCCACCAGGCAATTCTACTCTTTGTTTTTGGCTAAGAGGCTGGAGCTACCAGCTTAATGAGAGTTTAAGGATTATCTATGGTTTAAATTATTGGTGCTGTCCCTATTACTATAGATTACTTAGTGCTAAATATAATTATACTGAGTACTTACTGGAATACTATTTTGAGTTCCAAGTTTAATATTTAAGGTGGATGAAGAAGATAAAATGATACCAAAAACTAAAGAACTAGACCTATGAAGAAGAGCAAAAGCTGACTTTTTGTTTTGATTTGTTTTGCCTGGGAAAAGTAAAGGTTAAGTGGAAATAGCATTGTTCAAGTACATCAAGAGATATTTCATGTCGGTGTTTCCCATGGCTCCTTTCTAGGCCTTTTCCTCCAAGGGTAGCAGAGAGTATGCATCAACCTGCTCCACCACCCCCACCCCACAATTTTCCCCCAGACCTTTACCCATGAAACTTAACTTACAAGTTTAGGTACCTGGTCTCCAGACTAGACCTCCATCCTAAGCCCCAGCCCTGGCTTTGTAGCTGCTTCCTGATTGTTTCTACTCCAATAGTCTACAGGCAAGTCAAGTTCACTGTAGTATCTAAAAACTAAGGTTGTCATAGTCTCCCCAGCATTATGCACCAGTTCTGTGCTTCCTCTCCTGATTCTTTGCATTCACGGTGGTAGCACCAATTTACCTTGCCACCTATGCACAAAGCTTATTTCAGACTTTTTTTCTTCTTCTTTTCCATCAGACCCTCCATCTTATTAGTCATCAAATTCTATGAGTTCAGCTTCTTCAGTGTTTTTCAAATTTATCTTCTCCTATTTCCCAAGCTATTGGTTCAGGCCCCTATCAATTTTTGCCCAAATTATTATTAGTAGTTATGTTTCACTTAAGCCACAGTAACTATAACCAAGTTATTGGGCAAAGATTATCTGTAATATTGTAATTGCATCTTAAATATTGTTTCCTTACTCTATCATCCACAACCCATCCTCTATCAGTGTTATTTTTGTAAATTAGCAATCAGGTCATCCCACCATTTTAAAAAAGATTTTATTTATTTATTTACTTACTTACTTACTTAAGAGAGAGAGTGAGAGAATGGTTTGGAGGAGGGGTAGGGGAGAGGGAGTGAGGGAGAGAATCTGAAGCAGACTTGGTGCGGAGCCCAATTTGGGGCTTGATCTCATGACTGCAGGATCATGACCTGAGCTAAAATGAAGAGTCAGAGGCTTAACTAACTGAGTCACCCAGGCACCCCTTGCCCACCATTTTGCTTAAAGACTTTTAATATCTCTTTACTTAGAGGATAATGCCTTCACTCTTCAGCATGGCATTCAAGATTTTTCACAGTCTGTATGTGGTTTATTTTTCCTGGTTTTATCTTCAGTCACTTTCTACCTCTCTTTACCAAATGTCTCTCTATGCCTTGAATCTGTGCTGGAGTTTTAGCCCTCCCTGCCTCTGTAGGTGCTATTCCCCCTTTCATTAGATGGCTTTCCTTCTTTCTCTACCTTAAAAGATTAATTTCTTTTTATGAAGACTTCCCCAAATCCTGCTGGAATATGTCTATGTTTGTGTCTGTCTCTCTCTCTAATATATATACATATATAGTATGAATTATGTTGTATTAATTATGAGCATATAATATATATTATACATTTATAGTATGAGTTAATTAATATACGTATATCCTATATATTCACACACACATATATATACACACATGTATATGAATATATTTACATTTACATTTATGTATATACACCTAAATATTCTTATGTAAACTGGACTATATGTACCTTGATGTTAAGAAGTGTGTTTTATTTATTCTTTATCACCAGGACCTAGAAGGTCAGATTTTAGTTGAGTAAATGCGTAATGTTTATTGCAAAGATAGTGACTACCTGGTTTCTATTTCCAGAGAAGATAAAACAGCAGAAATTATACTTTAGTCTTTGGTATTAGGAAGAATAGGTGAGATGCTGGAACGAGTTATTTATAACTTGGATAATTTTATGAATTCTTTTCTGTAGTTCTTTTTTCTCATGAGTATAGATTTTTATTTGTCTAAGATGGTTTAGGAATTTCTCTGCTTGGATTTGTGCTGCTAGATCAAAATTAATTTTCTTCTGAATCAAAAATAATTTTTCTGTTAGATCACAATAAATTTCACCAGAGAAATGGTACACATTGCACTTAGCCTAAGGAAATGCAGTATTAATGCAGAGGACCCAAGAAGGTTAAAGGAGAAAGACTAGGTTCAATTTTAATTATGACTTTCGCTTGCCTATTATGTGATTTCTTTTTGGAACTTAAAAACTTGATTTTAAGTCCAACACTAATTTTCAATGTTTAACGAGGATGGCTGAAGATGTTGATCTCATAATATTTATATTTCTATTCTTATTACAGAATGAACTTAGTAGAAGTCAAAATGTTAATCAGAACAAGGAGATGCATTTCACAAAAAAGGTACATTTCATGCAAAATGGTAGGGACAATGACATAGCAAGCTGTTAGTTTTTCCCTTAGGAGTGCCAACATGATGTTTCAGTTTTTTTTTAAGTAGAAAGGTTGAATGTAATTCAGTGGTGCTCTGGAATATTGGCAAGTCATTTTTCAGTAGACAAATAAATTGTGCACAGCCTTCGAAATAGATTTGTCAGGAATCTATCACTCGTTTTCCTCCTGTGTGCTGAACCTACTCTGGAGTCCACAACCTGCAGTATGTAGATAAGAGTATAGCCATCCTATGCCTTTTAATTCTTTCAGGGGGGCAAACATGATAGAAGGACAATTAACCTGTTCAATGTATGCCAGATTAGGGATCAATTCAGCTTCCTGCAAAAAGGTAGAATTCTAGAATGGGATATTTCCTTAAGTAGTGAGTTTCCCTTTACTGAAAATGTTCAAGCACATTTGTGCTGATTTGTTCAGTGCTGTATTCCAGAGTGCTTGGTACAGAGTAAATACCCAATAAATATTTAATATACAAATGAATAAAGCACAAAATAGATGATGTTTAAATTAGCTTATGCTGTGTAATGAACCATCCCAAAAAGTAGTAGTTTAAAACAACAATGATTTGTTATTTTTCATGATTCTGAGGGTTGGCTGCAGAATCTGAAATGGTCTCACATTTCTGGGGACCTCAGCTCTATGGTTGGGACAGCTAGGTCTCTCTCCCCGCGTGTATCTCATCTTCAGCCTCAGTGTTCCAAGAGAGTGAGAATGGTAACTGCAAAGCCTCTGCTGGTTAGGCTCGCAACTCATTTCCAGGGCATTCTATTGGTCAAGAAAGTCACAAGGCCAGCTCAGAAGGGGTGGGAAAATTGACCCTACCTCTGGATGGGAGTTGTTGCAAAAAGTTTGTGGCTGTTTTTAATCTACCACAGATGACCAACTTAAAAAAAAACCTTGTGTAGGGAATTCTTGTAATGGGATGGAGATTGGTCAACCTGACCTCCCAGAGCCCTTCCAACTCAGATTCTATAATTCCATCAAGCTGAATGGATCTCTTGCAGTGTTCTAAGAGAATAGTTACTAACTTGTGGTATCTGGAAATTTTAATCTACTTCTGGTAAGGTAATTTCAAAAATAATTCATGGAGTAATCCTTTTTCTAATTATTATTATGATTAAGAATTTATATTCTTCCTTTAAGCATTTCAAATGCCCATCAGAATTTTGTTAGTAAGAGTGATATTTACATGTAGTTGCACTAATGTGTAACTAACTCTATATTTAATTCTGGTGTATCAGCAACATTCTCCTTTCCTTATGCTTTGTTGACCATTCTTTTTTTTTTTTTAAAGATTTTATTTTATTTATTTGACAGAGAGAGAGAGACAGCTAGAGAGGGAACACAAGCAGGGGGAGTGGGAAAGGGAGAAGCAGGCTCCCAGCCAAGCAGAGAGCCTGATGCGGGGCTCGATCCCAGGACCCTGGGATCATGACCTGAGCCCAAGGCAGACGCTTAACGACTGAGCCACCCAGGCGCTCCTCTTTGTTGACCATTCTATGAACACTGGGTAAACTCTTTACTCTTAATTCATCCATCAAATACTGACATTTTAGAAGTCACTGAGCTCAATAATATAAAATTTTAATTTTTCTTCTGCTTCAGAGGAGAGTGTGTATATTATTGTCTCAGTATTTATGGCTATTTGTTAAAAAAGTTGTAAATCTACCACTTTTCTGTAATTATCCTTCTATGATACTTTTTTAAAAAGATTTTATTTATTTATTTTATTTAATTTTTTTTTTTAAAGATTTTATTTATTTGAGACAGAGAGAATGAGAGAGAGAGAGCACATGAGAGGGGGAGGGTCAGAGGGAGAAGCAGGCTCCCTGCCGAGCAGAAAGCCTGATGCGGGACTCAATCCAGGGACTCCAGGATCATGACCTGAGCCGAAGGCAGTCGCTTAACCAACTGAGCCACCCAGGTGCCCCTTATTTATCTATTTTAGAGAGAAAGAGTGTGTGTGTGTGTACACATGCAGGAGAGAGTGGGGGGAGGGGCAGAGGAAGAGGCAGAGAATCTCTAGCTGACTCTGCGCTGAACGTGGAGCCTGAAGTGGGGCTCAATCCCATGACCCTGAGACATGACCTGAGCCGAAATCAAGAGTTGGTCGCTTAACTAACTGAGTCACCCAGGTGCCCCCTTCTATGATGCTTTTAATAAATTAAAGATATTCCCTTGAGACTATTTTAGTAATAGCAGGCACACAGATATATGAATGCAGAGATCTCATATAAGTAACTTACAAATAATATATGTGAAAACTGTAAAAGTATTCCATTAAGGAGTGTCAGAACAGTTATAGTGGGAAAGCAGTATGGGGAAGACTGACCTATTGATAGCTAAATTGTTACTTATGGTATAAAGGTTTATACCATAAAATTTTGCTAGTATATTTTTGTATGTGTATGCAGTTGAAAATCATATGTTTTTGATAATTTTTGACAAATACTTGAAACATGACTATTTTAGTTATCATTGTAGGAATCTATTTTGCTTAAAATTTTTAGTTTGGCATTAAACTTCCACCCCAAAATTCTACAGTAGTATTTTTCTCTTCCTACTCTTCAAAAATAACACAAAATAAAGCCAAACAAACTCAAAGCACCTCACAGCCATTTTGTAGAAATAAAACCAGTTCATCTTTGTGGAATGGATATGCCAGGTCCTGAACATATTGTTGATAATTTTTTTAAAGATTTTATTTATTTATTTGACACAGAGAGAGAGAGATCACAAGCAGGAGGAGCAGCAGACAGAGGGAAAAGCAGGCTCCCTGCTACGCAAGGAGCCTGAGGCGGGACTCAATTCCAGGACCCTGGGATCATGCCCTGAGCTAAAGGCAGATGCTTAAATGACTGAGCCACCCTGGCATCCCTGTATTGTTGATAATCAACCTGGTCAGGTAACGTTCCCAGGAAATCTTCTACCTTTCCCTTTTCTAAGAATTAATAAAATTTATTTCTTAGAGCAGTTCTCGATTTACAGAAAAACTGAACAGAAAGTACAGAGAGTTCTCACACACTCCCATGCCTACTCTGCAACCAGTTTACCCTATTACTAACATTTTGCATTGGTGTACATTTGCTGCAAGTGATGAACCAGTATCGATATAACTAATGTCCACAGTTTACATTAGGGTTCATTCTTTGTGATGTATGGTTCTGTGGGTTTTGCCAAATGCATAATGTCATGTATCCCCCATTATAGTATCATAGAGAATAGTTTTGCTGCCCTAAAAATCTCCTTGTCTCCTTGTTCCACCTATTCATCTCTCCTCCTTCCTTCCCCAACCACCTTTCCTTTTTAATACCTAAATTAAGCCTAGAGTAATATTAATTAGTTTGAGCTAAGAATTTGCTTAAATAACCAATGATTCCCCATGGCAATCAAAATTTCTTAATCATTTAGACCAGCAGTGTCCAATAGAAATATGATGTGATCATATGTGTATTTAAAATATTCTAGAAGCTGCATTTAAAAAATAAAGAAAACCAAGTGAAAATAATTTAGTAGTTTATACTTATTCCAATATATTGACAATATCAATTACAAAATGTAACCATATAAAAATTGAGATGTTTTAGTGTTTTTGTACTAACACTCAAAACCTAGTGTGCATTTTTTTTTTTTTAAGATTTATTTATTTGGGGGGGGAAGGATGGAGGGAGAGGGTAAGAAAGAATCTCCAGCAGACTCCCTACTGAGCGAGGAGCCTGACCCAGGCCTGGATCCCACCACCCTGAGGTCCTGACCTGAGCTGAAATTGAGTGGGATGCTTAACTGACTGAACCACCCAGCCCCCCCTCTAGTGTGCATTTTAAACTCACAGCACATCTCATTTCAGTATAGTCACACTTAAAGTGCTCAATAGCCACAAGTGGCCTGTGACTAAGATACTAGACAGTGCAGGCCTAGACTGTGAGCAATCTGAGAGCAGGTTATCCCGTCTCCAAGGCCTCCAGAATAGAAATGCGGTGGATATTTTTGTAAGGTATACCAGAAACGTAAAAGGAGCTCTCTAAACCTTTGCATTGCTGATACTTGTATTGTTCTGCGACCACTTTCCTTTAAACTTCCTTTCCAGTTTTGGAAAAAGTGGAATGGGGATCATACTCATTCCAGCATATCAAACAAATGAATACTGGCCTTCCTGACTCCCAGAGGCCTGAATCATCTGAAATGTTGACTCATGAGCCTAAGGTGACTGAAATGTAATGGAAATCAAATTTGCCTTCCAAGGCATCATTTTGTTTCCACTTTCCTCTTCTCTCTCTTTGGGTGACTCATCTTTCTACCATGTAAGAGTCCAGCAGCAGGCAGAGCCCCAAACCCTCCTGAATGAGCCGACTTTGAAATGGCCCCAGTCCTACAGACTGTGCAAGCCCAGCTGTTTTGCCTACCTCATCCAGGGTTTGCAGTTTGGACGGAAAACAATCTTAAAGCTGCCCCCCGCCCCCGCCTTTTTTTTTTCTTTTAAGGTGGTGAAGGTAGTAGTGACGAGTTGGTCTGGTAATTTAAGTTTGAAAAAAGGTTATCTTTTTATTTCAAAATCTTTTAATACTTAGTGTATACTTAAATCCTTAGGGCCTACTTCACAGTAGCTTTCTCCACTCCGGTTTTTTTCCTTTCCTGGGAGGAAAGTTACCACCCCCAGGCCCCCAGGATAACGCCCTTCCGGGGTTGGGGGCCAGAAATCCTCAATCCTAAGGGGCAGGCCGCCTGTCCTGCCGCAAGTGTACGCACTACTGGAGCTACAGACTGACCCCCACCTCTGGGCGAAGCTAAGACCCCAGCCCACCCCGCGCCTACCCAAGGTGAAGGGTGGGGCTCCCAGTTCCAAACCCCTCCCATGGAACTCACCCGAGCCGGTAGGAGAGAGGAGGTGCAAAAGGCCCCACCTACTTTTCTCTCTTTCTCTTTCCATTGGACTGACTGGTTGCCCATCGTCTCTGTTTCGTAGGCGATTGGCTTCCTTCCTTCCGCGCCAGTCCCTGCCTCTCCCCGCCGGGGAGGGTAAGTCACGCCAAACTGGGCGGAGAATCCACTGGCCTCTCTCCTTCGCTCGTCTGGGCGGTGGCGGCAACTGGGGACGGGGCGGGTGGCGCATCACGGGCGCAGAGGCAGGAGGAGCAGTCTCATTGTTCCGGGAGCCGTCGCCACTGCAGGTCTCTGGGCTCGTTCGGCCCTGTCCCTCGCAGTCCTCCCCAACCCCCACAACCGCCCGCGGCTCTGAGGAGAAGCGTCCTGTGGAGACAGCTGCAGCATCATCTCCGACCCGCCAGCCATGGAAGACATGGACCAGTCGCCTCTGGTCTCTTCGTCCTCGGACAGCCCGCCCGGGCCCCAGCCCCCGTTCAAGTACCAATTCGTGAGGGAGCCCGAGGACGAGGAGGAAGAAGAGGAGGACGAAGACGAGGAGGACGAAGACGAGGACTTGGAGGAGCTGGAGGTGCTGGAGAGGAAGCCCGCCACGGGGCTGTCTGCAGCCCCGGTGCCCACCGCCCCCGTCGCTGGCGCGCCCCTGCTGGACTTCGGCAGTGACTTCGTGCCCCCGGCGCCCCGGGGGCCACTGCCGGCCGCGCCCCCCGCCGCCCCGGAGCGGCCGCAGTCTTGGGACGCGAGCCCCGCGTCGCCCGCGGTGCCCGCGCCATCCCTGCCCTCCGCTGCCGCAGCCTCGCCCTCCAAGCTTCCCGAGGACGATGAGCCCCCGGCCCGGCCTCCCCCTCCTCCCCCGGCCAGCGTGAGCCCCCAGGCCGAGCCCGCGTGGACCCCACCCGCCCCGGCCCCCGCCGCGCCCCCCTCCACCCCGGCCGCGCCCAAGCGCAGAGGCTCTTCAGGCTCAGTGGGTGAGTGCCGTGCCCTCCCGCCTCGCGCAGCCCCTCGCTCCCCTCCGTCTTTTGTGTGCACCCCCAAATGCCTCGGGCGGAGCCCTCCTCTCCGCCCCGAGGGGCTTTGTCCGTGGACCTCCGGGCGAAGGCGCCCCCCCTGGTAGGAGCCGTCAGGAGCAGGGTGGGGCGGCCGAGAAAACCCGGGCTTGTTCTTTATTGTCTGTCTCGGTATCGGGGAACACGTGCACCCCTCCTGTTCGGCTTCTTCCCTCTGGTCCCTATTCTACTGCATCCCGGAAGTTAGGCACCCACCCCTGATAGGAGCTGGGTCTGTATCTAGGGACCAGGGTTGTGGATACATTGGGCTGGCTAGGCTCCCGGGTGAGGATGGAAAGGCCTTGGCGCCCTTCATCTTTTGTCTACCGGTCTGGGGTGCTCCTAGGGAAAAGGCGCAGTTTTGCAGCTAGTCACTTTGCCAGCAGTGAGCCCTGGCCCCCCTCCTCACCTTCTTCCTGGCTTGGGTGGCTCCCCAGCGCCTCATTCCCCTCCCTCTCGACTCTTGGCGCTGGTGGGGAGCTGGCCCAGTGGAAAACATCCACACTGACCCAACTGCAGTGAAGGGAGAGCGCCTCCAGTGGTGTGGCGCGTGGAGAATTGGGAAGGCGAGAGTTCTGGCAAAGTCCTGCCACCGCCCAGTTTATCCGGGTTGTGATGTGGCGACTCCCCAGCTAAACCGAGCCAGGGAAGTGGGATCTGAGCATTTATGGTCCGAGGGAGCGCAGTTCTACTAGGGTCTCAGGTGCTGAGTGAGAGGAATTGCTGTTAGTGTGGTTTAGGCTCTTGATGGATTATAATTGAATCGGAGAGGAAAAAAGGCAAAATGGTTGACACTCTTAAAGAAAGGAAACCTGTGGGGTTTTTACCGCGAATAGGCCAGTTGAATTTGTGGCAGACTTGCCACTAGACTTAATGAAATGTTTTGAGAAAGATATTTTCATGTAGTGGTTAGAAATATATTTCTTAGAAGTTATTTGTTTTAGGTCGACAGGGACAAATCTGCATAGTCTATAAACAGTTTCCAAATCTTTTCATTCACTTTAGTACCTGATTTTATATATATGTATTTAAAGGAACATTGTCTTATTTCCCTTTTCATTTTGGGAAATTGTTTATTTTGGAAGAGGAAAAAAAGTCAAGTTTGTTAGAGATGGAGAATCTTACTAGACAAGTTATTAACTTACTAGCATGTATCTTGTTACTTCGGGGGCAGAAAGTGTCCCACCAGCAAGCAGTAGGACTTTTCTTTATGTATAAAAGGGCCAGAATCTGGTAGTATAACTGCCTGCTGAGAAATCTTCATTGCCTTGTAGTATTTTAGAAATGGTTGATTTTCTAGAAGAAAATCAATGAGATCACAGAAAACATATTTTTCAGTTCATTCCTTCACAATAGGGAAATAAGCCAATTGTGATGTTTCTGAATAACATTTTGATAATGACATACCCCAAAGCATTATTAACATTAATCATTACACTAAAGATATTAGGAGATGAGGAGTAACTCAATCTTTCCTTTTTCTGAATTAAAAAACACGTTTAAGAGAAACTAAGATGTAGAAGAATAAAGAGTAATAAGAAATTTGCAAATGGGAAATCTAATGATTAACAAAGGCATACTGATTTGTCATATTGTATTCCAGTATGGGAACAAAGAGAAGAGTTCTGATCTTTGAACATTAGGGATTCAGGAGGTGACAGCATTCTCTTAGAATTTTGACTTTTGGAATACTAAGTTTAGAAAACAAAGGACAGAGAATATTGCCTACCCAGGGACTCTTATCTTTATATAGTTCCCTAATTCTGTATTGATGATAGCTATTTGGAAACTTTAGTTCCTTTAGGAAACCACTGAATATCACGATTATGGTCATGGATAGTTAAACCATTTCTGTGAGTCTTAGGTTCTTCACAGTTCGTTCATTCAACTGATAATTGATTACCTACGAAGAGACAGGTTCTATTCTAGGCTGTGAGGGTATAGCAAATAAGCAGGACACACGTGCTCCCCATTAGGGGTGTACGATAATTACATAAGTAAGGAACTCAGAATAGTGGTAAGTGTTATGAGGAAAATAAACAGGATGATGGTATGGAAAGTGATTGGGGTGTGTGTATGGGGGGGGGTTGTTTTAAGTAGGGTGGCATTGAGAAATGCCTTTGTGAGGAGGTGAGATTTGAGCTGTAGATAAAAATTTCCAAGCAACCCGTAGGGAGACAAAAGCCTTTAGGCAGGAATTAGCTTTGTGTGTTTGAAAGTCTAGTAAGAAGACTAATGAGAAAAACTTGGGAGACACTGGTGTCAGGTGAGGTTGGGGAGGTGGGCTAAACTTAGATCATTTGGGGTCTCTAACAGGCCATGGTAAAAAGTTTGGATTTTTTAAATAAAAGATATTCTTTATTTTAGAAATATGCTCCTTAATAATTGTGCTTTTGGAGCAAAAATATAGTTTTGAAGATTTAGAGGAACTGCGAAGACTGATGTGAGTAAAGACAAGGTGAGAAATGTGCAGGGCATGGTTAAAAACATAGAGCAACCCGATGGGAAGAGGGTTATATTTACTGAGTTGGGCGGACTCCTGACACTTGTGCATTTAACATTGTTTACATTATTTTTGAATAAACTCTGATTCCCATCACTAGGAAAGTAGTAATTTTGCTGTTTACTGTTGTGCTTGGAGTATCCCCATTGTAATGCAGTAATGAAGTGAGATCGAAGCCTCTCACTTGATGACCATTTTTCACAGAAAACATTTGGCTTCACTTTGAGAAGGTGGTTGGTTAAAGGGCTTTGAGGATACATGAGGGAAATGCTGGATAGAAATTGTGTTGAGAGAAATGTAAACATCATTAACCATGACACTGAGCTGGTCTCTGGGCATGTTCTAAACCAGTGTTAATATTGAAAATGTGGTACATCGGGGGGCGCCTGGGTGGCTCAGATGGTTAAGCGTCTGCCTCCGGCTCAGGTCGTGATCCCAGGGTCCTGGGATGGAGCCACATATTGGGCTCCTGGCTCAGTGGGGAGCCTGCTTCTCTGTCTGCCTCTCCCCCTGCTCATGCTCCATCTCTCTCTATCTCTGTTTCTCAAATGAATAAATAAAATCTTTAAAAAAAAATGTGGTAGATCTGGATTCTGAGGCATATTGAATACTAAATTAAGCTACTAGGGTTTTCACATCCTGTTTTTATCCATGCTCTGCCACCCGCAGTTGCTCTTGCTTTTGGTAATTTCTATTATGAAACAACAAAATGTTTTTGTTGTTGTTTCCAAATGTAAAGTTCTTTCATTATTTTTTACCCTGGTCCTGAGAGGGTAAAAAATATGAATAAACTCCAATTCCCATCACTGCTTTATGCCATGGGAGGCCATTGGAGATTATTGAACTGAGGCAGGACATCATGAAAGCAGTGTTAGGAAAAAAATGAATTGGTGACAGTATTCAAGATAGGTTGGAAAGAAGAACGGGAACTATTTAGAATGCTTTTGCAGTAGTTCCGAAAAGGGTGAGTAGAGCCTGAACTAGTTCACTACTACTTCAGTCAATGAAAATGGAATAGAAGGGAGGAATATAAGAAACTATAGGAAACATGGTTTTTTGGCTGCAGATCTCTATTTTTATAGTTAGGTTAAAAAAAGTTTTAAAGGGCGCCTGGGTGGCTCAGTTGGTTAAGCAACTGCCTCCGGCTCAGGTCATGATCCTGGAGTCCCAGGATCGAGTCCCCTGTCGGGCTCCCTGCTCAGCAGGGAGTCTGCTTCTCCCTCTGACCCTCTTCCCTCTCGTGCTCTCTATCTCTCATTCTCTCTCTCTCAAATAAATAAATAAAATCTTAAAAAAAAAGTTTTTATGAAAGAAGAATTGATAGGACTTGGAGGCAAAGGATGTAAATACAAAGAATGTTGGTGCTTACTAAATCAATCTCAGAGACTGTCCAAATTTGTTAATTGCAGTGGAAATTTGCATAGAATTGAATACTGCTCATAAATATAGTTTATGGCTTGGGATTAAAAATTATTAGTCTTTTTATAAAGTCATTAATTATATGATTAGATACAGTGGCATAAGAGCAAATAGAAATGTTAAAAGATTTTGAGTGACGTA